TGGTGTGGGTGAGTGATAGTCTACTTTGATTTTGGTTAAGGTAGATGATCATTTACAGTGTAATCAGTGAGGGGATTCTACAGACTGTTGAGGGTTCAGCCTCCTGATGAGTCGGTGAGACTCCGACGAAACAGTTTGTCACAGCCCCTCGTTTGTTCTCCTCTTCTCTCTCTCTGCCTACGGTTTACCGGGCAGTTCTGTTCGTGACGACATATATACATACATATATATATATATATATATCCGACGAAACAGTTTGTCACAGCCCCTCGTTTGTTGTCCTCTTCTCCCTCTCTGCCTACGGTTTACCGGGCAGTTCTCTTTGACGATATATATATATATATATATTTCCCTAGAATGGATGATTAAAATCATGATTATGAATGAGGTATTCGATACTAAGAGGTACGAATATATAAATACGAATATATATAATATTATATATATATATATAAAAAAAAGATAAAATGAAATAATGATAAAAGATGGTACAGTTCGGCTTCCTCCTTTGAGAATAGGTGACTAATTTTGCAGTAGAAGTAGACCCAAAAACAAAGCACCTTGAGGCCACCAGTATTTACCAAAGCACGGCATCGTGACATAGAAATCATGGGTCTGCACAGTGCCCAGCCATGTGTATGCCTCCCTAAAAACTTGACTCCGGAATGCTGACATACATTGTTGTCAGTACGGCCGACTATACGGCCGAGAACCTTCCAGTACCTCTCCGTTCCGAAAAAGATGGGAACCCGCGGCTCATTAGGACTATTTAACCATCCGATTAGCATTACGCTAATCCTCTCTTACCGGACTGACGAGGTAGGCTATACGACGGTCCTTTTTGTTCAAAGAGGACATGAGTATAGTCGCCCTTGTCAACTCCGAGTCGCCATCGTCGACCGTCCTACGATCCGCTGACGATTTATGCTATGACGAGTGAACGACCTGCGTCGCTCGCCGCTGCCACCACTCCCAAGTGCAACGTTACCGCTGTTATTTGCGCGTCACTTCCTAGAGTATCCATCGCTGCGTCCATCACCTTGGCTGTGTCATGCTCCCTGATTCCTCTCGGGGTTTCAGTTGAATTTACCCCAGCCATTACCTTCCTTCTTGGCACGAAGAGGATCCTGTGAAGTCGCCATGGATGCCGCGGTTAGTTTTGAGGAGATGCTAAACGTGCATCTCATTGAGGATGGAGTCGTCGAGCCTGCCTCGCAACCAGAGGTGATGCATTCGCTCACATCTTCTATCTATACCCGTTCTTTCCTCTCTCCTCTCGCTCCCCCCTTCCTCTCCTTCTTCCTATTCCTCTCAAACCATTATCATCTGCTCTCTCTTTGGGTCCATGATAATGCTCGTTCCCTTCTCCGTCTTCCACTCCTTACCCCCCCTCCTCTTCCTATGGTTCTCGTGCAACTCTTTTAAGAAAAAGTAGATCTCATGATGTGCTGTCCAATAGGACACCTCTGATGAGCTAATATGTGGCATGATTAGCAAAAAACGTTTAAGGATGCTTGCCACCACCCTAACCAGATGGGATCTCTACTTGTTTTCACCTACCCAGTGTGTGGTATACTGGTGATTGCTAAAGTGATGTGTTGAGAATCATGAAATCTATCTATCTTTTGTCCTTCTTTGATCTTTATTTCCTTCGCTAGATGATTTGTGTGATTCCTGTGATCGCTTACCGGCGCTTCATACTTGTGGTGTGCATGTTTTGAAATCCTTGCCTGGTCATCTAGCTACATGATTTGGGAATGCTTGTGGGATGGGTTTTTGGCTTGAATGGCTTGGCATGCATGTGTGTTGACAGGCCATGTTTCTCACCGATAAGATCCGAGGCATCAAGGAGCAGTGATCGCTGATCGACGCGCCCCCCTTGACTCGTGAAGGATGCTGATTATGTGTGGATCGATTGACTCTACGAAGACCTTGTGCTAGGATTCTCGTTTTTGCCTTGGAGTTGCGTATCGTGTAGCTATACTTGCATCAATAAGTTGCCAGTCCTCTGGGAGTGACGGGGTTCGGGCATTCTTCATAACCAATTGAGTGACGAATGGTTGTCTGTATGACTCGCTTTGAGTGTTTATGCAGCGGTGGCGCGAATGGCGGAACGCTGGTAGTGTAGTCTTGGGTAGAATGGTTAATTGATGTTTAATAATATCAGGGCTGCCATGAGAGATTGACCGACATCTGAATCGCTACGAGTAGACGTCAGGTCATCAATTCATGTAGGAGAGAGGGTCTTCGATAGTAAGCTTGACTTATGCACGGGATGGGAGTCTCGTCGAATAAAATACAAGATCAGATCGCATGTTGGGGATGTCATGCATGATCGCAATGGGTCAGGACTCTATGCACATGGTCTAGTTCTTATTTTTACGTTCTTTTCATTGGTACGTTCGAGTGCTGATCACTGCCGCATCTGCCAGTAGCCATTCATTTGTAGTCTTATATCATTAGTATTTTCACCCTCTCTCAAGCGGTATTTTATAAGAAAAATATTGGATTTTTCGGTTCTCACGAGTTCTGAAAAAGTGACGTTTAATTTCCCTCCCCGGTTGTGCTCACTGTTTTCCGTTCAACTTTCGATTACGATATGAGTATGTCGTATGAAATGACCCATAATGTCCATCCTATTTGAATATCGAAGATCGCTGCAGGAAGTTTTAAATAAATCGATTAACAAACTACACTGATCTATTGCATAAATGCATTCGCTCTTTTGATCGGCTATTCACAGTTGCCTCTTGGTAACATGCTACAATGTGGATGTTTACTTCTTCGGCACGCCGCACTCGCTCTCATATGATCTATCTTTCGATTTAATGTCTCCATGTGATGAAGCTAGCACTGCTTGAATGGATCGATAGAGTGATCTCTTATCCTCTTACTCTCCCCCCCTCTCTCTCTCTCTTTTTCGTCGACTTCATCGTCTTCTTCTTCTTCTTCTTCTTCTTCTTCTTCTTCTTCTTCTTCTTCTTCTTCTTCTTCTTCTTCTGTTTTCCTCGTCGTCATCATCATCTTCCATCCTGTCAGTCCCTCATCCTCACCTACCCCCCCTCGTTTTCGAGTTAATCTCCTCCGCTTCCCTCCCTCCTTTCTATAACTACCCTTACCTCTATCCTGTCGAATAGGACTTGTGTTGCAGTATGTAAAGCATCCTAGGTACTAAATGAAGGAAGTAGGTTACGAAAGGTGACCAACGCTTTGAAAACCATACGGAGTGTCCCCAGTGACGTGACAGTGGTTGTGAGTGCATATGTATTATGCACTGAGGCTCCCATAATATGTGTTCACACACATCATCACACACATGCTCATCTGAGAGTAGTACTCTTTATGGATGTTTCCTCTTATGGCTGATACCCATAACCAACTGTTTGTGACTCATATTCAGGGGAGGTATACTTTATTCTTGGGTTTTATCTGCGTTTGCATTCACTCTGTTTGAGCCCGATCTGTCAATTAGTAGAGGTATGCTTATGAAACTCGCTGCTTGTCTCTGTGTTCCAGAAATTCGTTGTCCCTCAAGTGTTGTGGATCGCTGACCTAGTTACCGGTGACAAGGCGTGGCTTGCCCGATTTCACCCTCCCTCACGCCCTACCCAGGCACTGATCGCCTATGCTAAAAAACAAGTGATCGCCGAGGTTAAGAGTAGGTCTATCGCTCTTGAGATCCATGCCCTCCCATTGATCGATTTCTTGTCATTTAATGACTGGGCCGAACTAATCCATGTCTATAGGCATAGGAGGGGCGATTTTGTTGAGACCTTGAACAGATTCTCAAATGCCACAGTGGCGGTGAAGGAGGAGATGGACAAAGAGGATAGGGTCATCAACAATAGCACCATTGATGCGGAGGCGAAATTTGTTTAACTATGGGCGGCAGACTCTCAGTTCCATAAGGCGAAGGATATGCGCGGTAATGCGACCGCTGATGAGGAGGCGATTGAGGATGAGGAGGATGAGCTAACGAAGGAGGAGAAGGAGTATTTGAGGAAGAAGGATGCGGAGGTGACCCATAATAAGGCCAAAATGGAATCAACGAAGAGAAAGACCTACACGGACATGAGGAGGAATGCTTTTCTTCCTTTGGCTTCACCTAGGTGGATTGAACTCATGTCTACTGCGTTGTCTGGAAATATTTGGTCGTTAGAAACGTTCAATTACCTAGCACCCATCGATCAGAGAGGCTATCGTTTGCTCGCCTCACTATCACAGGACGAAATGAAACAAGCGATCGAACGGGCACTTGAAATGAACACTGCCCCTCCCGATGCGAAGTTCCCCTTCAACAGGGAAGGTGTCTTCCTCCCTCCTATGAATGCCATGGATTCCAACAAATGCTCCCTCCCACGCCCTACCGTCATGATCAAGGGAAATAAACCTCCTCAGAACCCCTCATCGCTGGCGGAGCTGAAGAGAATCTGGAACGTGGGAAAGCCGTACATCAAATGTCGATGTACGTCTGAGGGTAATGCCGACTGTGGTTCTGGACCTGCATGGTTCGACCATCTCGTTTGGAACCTCTTGTACCATCTTGAGGTTTTCTATCCTGATGCCCCGACCCCCAGGGCGAAGGTCTCCTCGTTGATCAAGTGCCTGTCCACTTGCTCGAAGCCACTGATGATCACATCAGTATCCTTTGGATGTGTCAGGGAAGTAATGATGTTGTTGGCAAAGAAGATCATTACTAACCCATCCGTAACCTGTGAGACTTTCCTCACCGGTATGAACGGGGCTGACCGGAAGGCCTTCAAGGAGTGTGCCAAATTGTTCCTCATGAGCAAGTACGTAAAAAAGAGAGCTAGAGCCGCCGCGGCTTCGTCATCCGCTGGGTCCAAGAGACCCAAAGGAGAAGGTCAGGGAACCATGGATAGGTTTGTAAACTCCACCCCTCCCCCTACCCTTCCTGCTGATGATGGTTCCCCCCCAGGGTCGAATGTCACGACGATTGGTGGAAGGAGAGATGGCTTGCCTGCTCAGCTCACTGGCGGTGGCAACAAGCAGCAGCGGACTGCCCAGCGCGCAATCTTCATCAATTGACGACATCAATCCTCAGCTATGTTCTGTCTATATATTTTTGTGCAGGTACGCAGAGGTTGCTTGGAACAAGGCCCCTTGGGAAGGCTAAGATGGAAAGTCTTACCTGATGCGTTGAAAGCTTCAGCTAAATTTGTACATATCCACTACGTCGGGAGAATCATGGATGGTATCGGATTTTCGATAATCTTCGAGTCTGTTTTCTCACGTTTTGTAAATGTTTCAATTCTCGATGTCTTCTTGACAATCGTGTTTAGATGGACGTACGATGAACCTGTCGCCCGACACGTTTACAAATCGGCTTCCACCTTCATGCGCTTCAACCTAAGTAGCTAGTATGAGTCAATGACTGATGAGGCTAGCTGCACGTGTAACAAAATTGTAAAGTTTGGTCCATTCCTCTGTGAGGAAACCCTGGACATGACGCAACCATGTCAGATACCGTCGAAGCACGTCTTGACCATGGACACAAAAATTGCAGATAACTCTGAATTCGAGAAGACCTTGGCATGTGGTCTGAACCACATTCCGGTGAGATCGCCAACAAGAAAGCAGACTCTGGATGCTTTTCTGAGTGCCTGGAATTCCACTATCGCCATTATCAGACAAAAGGAATTTATCCCGGCCCCTCTAGTCAAGCACATGACGACCATTGTCAGAAAATCACTGTCCGAAGATATTAGACAATCATCAGTTCGCTGCTTCAATAGACCTATGCCCGCTCAGAGAGCAATGTGCAGTTTTTATTGAAACATCTGTACATTGCCGGAACTGATAAGGCAGCTAACACTCCATTCTTTGTTTGTAAGAATTTAGTGAGAGCACTAGCACTGGAGAGGTTGTCTAGCTAAGATTTTGAGTTTCCGAATGTCAGTATGGATGAAGTAATTCATGAAGCAGCAATGTCCCTCGTGGCGGCTTTTCCTACGGTTAGGATGACCTCTAGGAATCTCCCCTACATCATGGCGATATATAAGCATCATAAGAAGTCATTCAGGTGGCTCACAAATGCGTCCGACACGTTCATCACTAGCCCTGCTACCCTAATTGACTCAGTTCTGAGAACAATCGAAGTTGCAGTCCTTAGGCATAGTCACAAGATGGCTGAATCTGTTAAAGCTTTGCATAGCTGTGATACTACATTTTGGTGGGTAATTGATCTGTTCAAGACTACTGCTACGACCTGCCCATGCAAGTATTCTCTGTCTTTTCTGCGGACACAACCAAGTGCTTTGAGAATATCCCCACGAATGACTCCAACACTGGCCTGCTGAAAGCCATCACCTTCTTTGTAAAGCTCGCTTTTTGGGAAATGAAGCAGTCTGAAGGTTTTACAGCTGTCAGGTGTACGTATGCAAGGAACGGTAATGTCAAGTGCAGTTTATCCAAAAATTCCTCCCAAAATACTGCAAACTCGTTATTTTTGGATGCTGACAAAATCGTGCAATTGTGTCAATGGGTCCTTGCGAGATGTTACACAACGTTCGACAATGCAATGTGGAAGCAAGTAAGAGGTATTCCGATGGGTCTCCCCTGCTCCCCTATATGGTGTAATATTTATTTTTTTAAGTACGAGTATGAGTTTATCGTAAAACTTTGTAGGTTACGAGTCTACGATATGACGGCCATGTTCAAACTGTCGTTTAGGTACATCAACGACCTGCACGTTATCAACAATCCTGCCATTCTCAAATTTCTAGATCCTGACCAGCCAAGAACTCCGGAGAACCCTTTTGGATCTACCCGCTAGGAATTGTCGAAATCAAGAACCAAACACAGTCGTTCTCTCTTGGCCCTGAGAATCTGATGTACGGGACTCTAGCACAGTTTTTACACATGGACATTCAGGTCATTCCCGAATCAAATGCCAGGGGTCTTCGTGACCACAAAGCATGACAAATCGAAGGCTTTTCCATTCAAACCGGTTAAATACGTCAAATTTAATTCCAATAGGCCTGCGAAACTATCTATTAATGTAGTGGTATCACAAACTGCGATGATCATGCTACTCTCGAATAGCCCAATAGATGCTGCAAAGGATATTAAGTTGCTGATAAATGCTATGGTTGAGAATGGGTTCCTTAAGGCAAACTGTATAGGAAAGGCCTTTACAGTCCTTGACAATCCTCGACTTTTCCAGGATCCTCGATGTCGTCCCATTGCTACCAAGGGCCTACTCAAGGTATGCGTATCCTAACATGTGCCTTGCAATGTAATGTCCTGAGATTTTTATGTATCTTTTCCTCATAGTATATGATACACGTACGTGTCTGTGTGCATGGTTGTGAAAAGTGTGTCCTCTCTACTACTAAAAACCGTTGGGTATACGGTGACGAGGGGGTTATTGGGGGCCGCCTGACCAGAAGGGTCAGGGGTTCCCCTCTGACCCTTCTTGTCAATGTACGTCCCCAGTGGGCCCAGTGGGGAAGGGGTGGGCCACACACACACACACACACACACACATTAACAAGAAGATGCTGGATATATATATATATATTCAGCCTCCTGATGAGTCGGTGAAACTCCGACGAAACAGTTTGTCACAACCCCTCGTTTGTTGTCCTCTTCTCTCTCTCTGCCTACGGTTTTACCGGGCAGTTATGTTTGTGACGATATATATCTATATATATCTATATATATCTATATATATCTATATATATATATATATATATATATACATACAGTTTGTCACAGCCCCTCGTTTGTTGTCCTCTTCTCTCTCTCTGCCTACGGTTTTACCGGGCAGTTCTGTTTGTGACGATATATATATATATATATATAATAGTGTATATATATATATAAAAAAAAAGATGAAATGGAATAATGATAAAAGATGGTACAGTTCGGCTTCCTCCTTTGAAAATAGGTGACTAATTTTGCAGAAGAAGTAGGCCCAAAATAGGTGGCTTCATCACACATCATCACACACACACACGCACACACGCACACACACACACACACACAAACACACACACACACACACACACACACACACAATCAGTTTTATGTTTGTATGTTTTCCTCTTGTTGTCTGCCTTCCCTCTGATATTTTTCGAAGTATTGTTGCTTACCCAACTGAGCACCCTTAAGTAGTGCCAAACAGTCGTTGGTTCCACGTCTGGAGTGCCTACTACACTCTTAGGGGGGCTGCTCGGTTTGGGGTGCCGGTGTTGACTGTGGGTGATGACGGATGCTCGTCGGAGTGTCTCCCTCACTCAATGGGTGGTGGGAACCAACAGTCTGCGGGGTTCAATCATGATGTGAGTAGGTCATGTGCCGATTTGCTCCATGTTGGATGTGTGGACGACCTCATCTGCGCTCTGCCGCTGCCCTGCTCAGCCTGTTGCCTGTCCCGCTTGCTTGGCATGTGGTTCTTCGCAGGCTGATGTGTTCGCTGTGTAGTGTGGTCGTGTTGTTGGTGTTGCCTTGCGCTTCGCTGCTCCGCTGCCTTGCTGCCCTTCCGTCGGCCGTGCCTTTCGTGTTTGCTGCTTGCGGGCCTTGCTGGATGGTTGCGTTGTTGCTGGTGTCTTATGCTTCACTCCACGGTTGCCGAATTGCTAGTCCACTCGCCCTGTCATCCCTTGCAGTGTGGTTGCCTTGCTTGTGTTGCCTTGTGCTTCACTACACGGTTTCCACATTGCATGTTCTGTGTGCCATGTCGTTCCTTGCAGTCGTTTTGGGTGTTGTGCATCCGTGTTACCTCTGGTCCTCTACTGTGTTGCCTGGTGCTCTGCAGGGTTGCTGCTCGCTCCTATGTTCCGCTTGGGGGCAGTCTGCCTTCATCAAGGGTCAAAGGGTTCATGACCCAAACCATCAAATACGAAGATTTGGCAAATTGTCGAGGGTTCAACCTCCTGAGTACTGATGAGTCGGTGCAACTCGAACAAAACAATCTATCATCATCGGTCCATTTATTTTTTTCGGTTGTTTGTTGTTTGGGACTTGTATTTTTTTCCTTGCTTGTTGCTTGTTGCCTTGCCCTTGTCTGGTGTGCCTGTGTATGGTCTGCCCTCTCGCTTCCGCCGCACCCTCCAGTCATTGAATCTTTAGTATCTATGTTGTGGTCGCTCGTCGTCTTTTGCTTGGAAGTGCACTTGACTGCGAAGTGTTGGAAAGCATCTTAGGGAGGTCATGTTGAGTCTAGCCCCTGGGGAAAGCCATGTCTTGCCAGTATTGGTGTGAAGTTGATAACTGGGGTTTGTAATATACTTATACATCACACACACACACACACATACACAAACACACACACACACACACACACACACACACATGCACTCTCTCTCTCTCTCTCTCTCTCTCTCTCTCTCTCTCTCTCTCTCTCTCTCTCTCTCTCGCGCGCGCGCGCGCTCACGCACGAGCGCACACGCAGAATGAGGCAGAGAGAAAAAGTGAGTGCATGCTGCCTTACACGACCTCTCGACGCTCGCTGATGCGCGCGTTTTTTTTTTTTTTAATGAATAAATGAATCAATCAATCAATCACAAATGAACACTTAAATTGACTCAAGGAATCAATCGACCAACCAATCAGTCAATCAATATTTTTTATTCTTTAATTTGTTCGTTTTCTCTTGTTTGAATGTTTTTTTTTAATTGAAGCAAGGACTGAAAAAAAGAAAGAAGAGAAAGAGGTGTGGTAGATCTTTTTTTGCTCTACAACCGCACCTTTTTCTTCTTTTTTTTGCATATTATTTTGCCCAGAATTGGCCATTGTGCACTATGTGCCGACGACACCCATACAACGTACGCCCATCCATCCGTTCGTCTGCTCAAACGGATTGTACATGGAACCCCCGTAGAAGGTATGTGGGACTACACAGGCGAAACTCGAGGGTGCCTATTGGGATACTTTCCAACAAGTCCTTTCTTGTGTGTGTACATTTTGAAAACGTCCCTACAAGCCTCGTGATTTTTTTGTTGATGGAAGCATAATAGGAATAGGCGTAGGAACTCGCGCAAGTTAGATCCCGCACGAGGAACTTTATTTCGGACTTCTGAATTTCAGATCGGGCTTAGGAATGATGTGCAACTTCACTGGCATTTCGCATAAATATTTTTGTGCCTTTTTTATTTTGTCCCCATGCATCTTTCTGAGTTGCACTTTTCCATGCAATCTTTCCTCGCTTTCTGAGCTCCCTTCTTCGCTCCATCATCGACAGATTCGACAAACCGTAATTGTCTTCGTCCCCTTCCTTTCACACTTTTTCTTTCTTCTTGCTTCTTTTGAATTTTGTCGATGCTCCATACTTCTTCTCATAGGCTAAGCTTCCTTTATACGCAGGAAGGCCTTGTTGATCACCAAACTGATTGTACAGGTCAGACGGTGGCGTATAAGAAGGCTTTGAACTCCTCACGCTGCGATCTGATTGGATACGGAGTACTCATGGGGA